TGGGACACTAGATCGCCGACGTGTGAAAACATGCGCGAGGAGAACACTCCGGGGCGCGGATAACAGGAGTGGCGGCGCTGCGGGCCCAACGCTTCGCACAACGATTCACGTGCCACGGCGATGCACGGGACAGAAAATTCCGGACGACTGGCTGTCCCAGGGGAGAATGTCGGCGCCACGCGGAGCGGAAATCGTGTCGGGAGGAAGTCCGAGGGCGTCTGAAAGACAGGAGGGGTCCGGAGAGGGGCGATTCGCTGGGCGGGAGGGCGACGCGGCGCGGCACGTTTAGCCTAGAATCGGATCGGATCAAAATGAATGCGCTGGACAAAACGGAAGCAGCCAGCAGGCATGCTGTCTTTCAGCGCCGAATCCACCAACACATGGGACCGAAGGCCAAAGGGCCCTCTATCCGGGCAAGAGCCGTGTCGTCCGCAACGGGAAGCGTCCCTCGCCGCGCCGCTCAACCGAAACCGTCCCGTCCCGCGCCCTGTTGATGCCGCCCGCGACTACCAAAACACACACACCCACGGGACCACTTCCTCCAAGGCGTGTTGGTACACATCAAATGCCACGTTTCCTTCCGTAAAATAGACAATCGTGCTCGATACCGCTGCCGCTGTGCCCCGCGCGCCAACAGAGTTCCTTTCAGCTAAATGACAAGCGCGCACCGCGCCCAGACGCCCCGGGAGAGCCTGCCGCGCCCCACTTACGAATGCACCCGCGACGCTGGGCCCTTCCATCCCTCCACGCCGGACCGTACCTCTGTCGGTGAAATCGAAATGCGCTGCTCGTCGCTCGGAGAGCTCGCTCGCTCGCTCGCTGCTGTTGCTCGCAGGCAATTGCTGTCGCTGGCTCGCGTCTGTTCGCGCTGATCCGCCCACCCGACTCGGGGCGTGGCTTAAGTGCTGCGCTGCGACAGGCGTTGGAATGTTCGGCGGCCACGTCACCGACAGCGGGGCAGGCAGTAGCGGACGTGGCGCTGTGTGGTTGGCCAGGTGGACGCTGGCGCGGCGCCCAAGAAGGGACACGTATCTTCTCGTCGATTTGTCGAAGTGCGGGTGGTAGACAAGGTGACTGAACAGGGAATCGAACCGGGTGCCTCTGGGATGCCCGACCGCTCTACCAAAGCACTTGGCAAGGGAGAGGGCAGTCCACTCCCTTGGGTGCCAGTCCACCCAATGTTGGTGATTGCGATGTGGTGGGGACCGCGTGGGATATCGGCCTGCGGTTTTCGTGTTGGTGCAGTTCCTTACCATCACCTACTATCCAGGCGGTGGCCGCATCCTCCCCCGCATCTGCGGCGTGCCCAGAAAGGATACGAGATACGAGCTCACGTACGAGAATAGATACGATCGCCACAAATTTGCCCAGGGTACGGTGTGTCCGTATACAGGATCTTCATATCCTCGCCATGCCTTGCTCGATATCCAGGACATTGGTTGAGGACCACCCTTGTGTTCTGCGGTTGTGGCAGCTTGCTTCGGCAACACGAACAAGCATTCGTTCCCGCAAACTGTACTTAAGTATGCTATGTTTCCCAGGCATCTCGATCCCCAATTCTCGATAGATGCATGGAGACGCCCTGTGGCAACGCAGCATGCTTGGTCGCCTTCCCCGACAAGAAATCGTTCATTTCAATCATAGACAAAGCGCGTTTCTACAATAAAAAGTCAATGATTTGTTGATCCTGAGATGTGCAAAATTTTGTTTACATGTCAGATTCAACAAATCATTCCGCCTACGCAAAACTATTGTGAAGGATTTTGAACCCAAGGGCGCCTTCCGTCCTCCGATCTCTGCCTCTTTCGCTCCCTAACCTGTCATTCTTGCGCTGTTGTTGGCTGTTGTGAGGATTGGACCAAGCACTGGAGCAACTGGCCCCTGTTCGGGTCGCCAATTAATAGGGCTCATCGAGAAGTTGGCAAATTAATGATGTCATTCAGCTGGCGACCCGTGAGGTCCCGATATGGTGCAGAGGGGATGTCGACAGCCTCAGCACCTTCGCCATACTGGTGATCATCCAGTAGGTTGGCGCTCAATGAGGCAGAAACCCCAAAACGTCAATCAGGGATGCTCTATAATTTTCTCGCAATCCAAGCCCAAGGCTCTCAGAATGCACAGAGATGACTTGAGTGACAAAGAGAGACCATGGAAGCCTCACTGCATGCCCAAAAAACCTAAATCAATACAGTTGTGATGCCGGACGCAGCTGCAGTACATGGCAGCGCACGTCAAGGGCATACCGGTGTCAGACACGTTTGGAAAACACCGTGAAGTACCGAGAAGCACGCAGGTCGCTGTTGGGCACGTGCGTTTGCTTTGGCAAGATGTACAGCCTTGCATGACCGGGCGCATTGGTCGTAGAAAGGCTTGGCGAGTCGGGCTGCGTCGGTCTTTCCGAGCAATGCCCGTTGATCGAGCCGGGACGGCCGTGGCTGGCCATGGTGCTGCCGATGGGGGATGGCAGGCACACGACCGAATCGCCGATTGAGACGGATCGACGTTGAAGTTGCTGGGGGGTTTTCTGGCGAACGGGCAGACCTTTCAACCTACGTGGTCGGCTGTGCGGTGGAGCGCCGTGAGTTTGAGCGAGCGTGGGCGCCGTGGATGTGCGGAACGGGAGGTCGCAGGGCTGATGCGAGAGGCATGCAATGTACTGCAACTGGATTTGTCATCCTGGCATGGTGCTGGAGAATTCTGGCGTCCTGTGGTATGCAAGCTGCTTAGAAGTGTGCCCCTAGGTCAGAGCAAGATGATTTGCCACGGAAGGCTGGGTGCCATCAGTCAGAAAAGTGGACTTGTGAAAGTTGATCGAATCTGGATTTGAAAGGATCAATCAGTTGCAAGGCAAGCTTGTTAAAGAAATCGTTTGCAAAAGATTTCACCTCAAACGGATATTTAGTGAGCAAGATATGGCCTTTTATGTGCGATGGAGCCGTTTTGGATGGAGTGGTGTTGCCCCCTGTGCGGCCTGTCATAGGGCGCTGTGGGACAGGGTCAGGAGGAGCGCGTGGAGGCGCCACGTGGCTGTTTGATGGGAATATGCCCCGTGGGGCATTACGTGGTTGCTGACCGCTGGGATTGGGGCGTACCGGGTTGAGTTGAGGTGAAACGACGGGCGTGGCAGAAAGATCCCGGGTATCAAAAGAGCATCTCTTAGGAATGCGGCGTATTTGCCAGATCTTGGGGTGTTACAAGTACTGGGGACGCGGCGAAAGCTGGGGGAACTCTGTATTGTTGCACTCGGCCCGACAGCTGTAAGAACGGTCGAGTGGCGTTTGCGTGTGCCTCTCGCGGCGGTCTGGGCACTCAGCCTGACTGCCGGACTCCCCTGGGCATGTGCGCAACGTTCGCCACAGCCTGAGCGCAATAGCGCTCGACCTTTTCGAAGGTCGCGGCCAGTCTGTGCCTTTTCTGAGCCGCTTTCCTTGCCGTTCAAGACCAGCACTGCCAGTGTGCTCGTGCTGCTGGTCAACAGTGACCACCCTTCGTCGCTGCACGGCTTCGTTGAGGCGGAAAGAAGCATCTTTCGTGTATTGTGTCGCCACGCTCCGGACAAGGCTGCCCCAACCCCACGGCCGTGGGGCTGACTTGTGCCCTGACCTCGATGAACTTTGAGAGTGGCTGCGACCGGTTGTGGCCCTCTGGGGGGCACTGGCCCCGGGGCAGTTGTGAGAGGATCCACGCTTGACGTTCAGTTGGATGTTTGCCGTTCGTTTGGAGCTTCTTTTCCCGCCGTTGCTATTTCTGTTCGTTGTCATCGCCGCGACAAGCACTTCTTCGTGAAGAGCCGGTTCGCACGAGGGGCAAAGCTTGTACGTTGAATGCACCCTCAACTGGCGTGGTGCTGAAGCTGTCGACGTGGCTCAGCTGCTCGTTCAGGGGTGATTAGACTGCGCTATCTCTAGGGATGACGGCCAGAATGGACCGCCGTCCTTTGCACCCCAAGTACGAAGCCCAGAGGTTGAAGCTGACAGCAATTCACATCGTGATCTTTTCGATTGCATTCACCAGCACATGAGGAAGCACCGTCCTTGCGATTGAGCATGTGGCAAGCGGCAGGCAACACAGGGACCTGTCATATTTTCCGCTTAACCAAGCAACGTCAGGTAACATTCAGCTAAACCCCCACCCCACCCCGGGAAGACGACTCAAAGGGTTCAGAACTTTACACGGCACCGCTTCAGGCCTCGGCTGCCGTTCGTGGCCGAACGCGGGTTGTTTCCGGGTCAAACAAAGAAGAGTGAGCCCTCCGCGGCGCCACAGAGCGCCCTCGGCGCCACCCGCCCACCACCCTGCAGGCCGTGCGTGGCCGCGAAATGTGACCTCCAACCATTGCCAACCCTGCTGCGACGACATCTAGTGCCTTGTGTGCCGTGGGTTGCCGCCAAATGTGACCGGCCCCCAACCCACCGGGGATGACGTTCTCCGCCTTTCCACAGATATCCTGACACCGAACCCACCGGGGATGACGTTCTCCGCCTTTCCACAGATATCCTGACACCGATCCACGAAAGCGTACCGCAACACCACAAGGACACCTCCGAACTGGCGCTGGAGACCGGGCGGCGCCCTGCTCCTTGCCGCGTAGGCCCCCAGGTGTGACCTGCCAGCCTGCCTTGCCCCCATTGGCCCGTCTCCTAACGCGCGGTCGCGGCACAGCACGCCTCAGTCACGTTAAAAGGGGCCCCCGTTCCCCACTTCCTCGCCACTCCGAGATCCCCCCCCCCGCCCCAAACCGGCCCCTCCCTTACCCCCGCGCCTGTGAAACCTCGAGCGCCATGGCGGAAGGCGGCGGCTTCCTCGGTCCCTGGTACAAGCGCCCGCCCAAGATCGGCATCTTCGCCCTTCGCGACATGCGGGATGTGCTCCGCGAGCAGAATTTGACCGACACGGATGCGCTGCCCACCGTGGACCGCGATCCCCCACCACCGCCCGCCGCCCCGCTGTCGCGTACCGCCGACGGCTCCCACGTGGACCCGAACGTGCCCACAATGGGCATGGCTGGCGCCAGATTCGGCCGCAATTTCCCTCTGGATCGCGTGCACCCGGATGTCGACAACTTGATGGTGCCCAACCCGAGGGAGATCTCGCGCAAGCTGCTGGCAAGAACGGAGGGGCTGATACGCGAGCCCATCCTCAACGTGCTGGCCGGGGCGTGGATCCAGTTCGAGACCCATGACTGGTTCGCCCACGCCAACGAGGAGGAGAAGACCCTGGAGATCCCGCTGCAAGAGGGGGACGAGTGGAAGGATGAGGTCGGCGGGGAGATGAAGGTGGAGAGGACTGCGCCGGACGCCACGAGGCCGGAGGGGGATGACAGCGGCCCGCCGACGTACACCAATCGGGTGACGCACTGGTGGGACGGCAGCCAGCTGTACGGGAGCGACCCGGCCAAGGTGGAGGCGCTGCGGTCACACGAGGACGGCAAGGTGAGTGCCACTCAAAATCGCCGTGAATGGCATTTTCAGGGAAAGCACAACAACCAAGTGGTGCAAAGCGCTAGGCCTTGTGCCACTGTACCCAAAGGCGTGGGTGGCCCGCCCACTGGGCGGGTTGTTCTTTCGGCGGTGACTTCAGTGCTGACGGTGACTTGGATGTGCGGGAATGGGTTGGGCTTGGTGTAGACAGTGAATTGAATGTCAGGGGTTGGCTTTTGACCCGGAGGGTAAAATTGTTGTCGGGGCCGGGGTGGGATCCGGGCGCTTTGGCTGGGCAGCTAGACGCCTCGCCACGCCACCTGGCCATGGGCGACGAGGAGAGCAGGCCGGCCCCTTGAGTAAGATGGCGCCCCAAGGGTCCGATCCATTGAGTTCCATGAATGCCAACCCCGGGGCGCTTTTCGTGTTTTCTGGTTGGGGGCGTTGACTCGCGCTTGGGGGGGGGGCTGCTGGGGAAGATGTGTCGGTGTCTCCGGGGTGGTAGCGCGGCGCTGGTGGCGGCAACAGGCTTGGCCTTTGCGGGGGTTCGAGATTGCGTGGCATGAAGTGGGATCACGTGGTGTGAGCAAGCATCAGTCGAGGTTGGTTGTTTGACCCGGTCGGGCGCCGGTTTGTGGGTCTGCCGGCGGCCGTTGCTGACTTGGCATCGAAGATGCTCCAGCTCACCGCCCGCGTTTGCTTGTCAGGCTCGCGGCGCCCCATCAAGGTGGGGCGCGTGACGGACTGCGTCGCAGCGTGCTTGGCGGCCGAGCCTTGGCCAGCGCAAGGACCTTTCAAAGCATGGAAACCAACGGCATGAAATCAGCCCTTCTGTCTTATCCGTGAAGACCCCTTCCTGTTTCGGAGGCCCTGAACCTTAAAACCAATGAACCAGTGACCGGCGTTGGCCTTGCGAGTGGAAGACGAAGGGAGCCTCACGGAAAAGTCAGGTGGACGAATGCATTCTCGAAACCAACACGGCCAATGCCGCGCCCACAAGTATACCACGCGCTTGCCGCAGCGCCCTCGCTGGCCCTCCCTTGTGCCGTTGTTTCGGGGCGTGTCCATGGTTGGCTGTTGGCCTTGTTGGCTGTTCAGGACGAAAACTCACAGTTAGTCACTGAAAGGTTTGCCTAAGGTCCTTCGCTGGCCTTCCAGCCCTTCAGCGGAAACGGCCACCCGAACCCCAATCTCCGTCACGTTGTCAGTGCCTGGAGATTTTCGATCCTTCCCTCCAGGACCCGGCCACCCGAACCCCAATCTCCGTCACGTTGTCAGTGCCTGGAGATCTTCGATCCTTCCCTCCAGGACCCCGCAACAGCTCATCATCGGCAGAGACGGCCTGCACCCTGCCAGCCTGAAAAGAAGCGCGGAATGCTGCAGGCAGCATTGTTTTCCATGAATATTGTGTTCAACACTCGTCCGTTGTCAATGTTGGTCACTAGCAAGCAGGTCCTGTATCCCCCTTGCCTGCCACAGCAGGTCATCATCACCAAGGCTTGTTTCCTGCTCCTTGACCTCCGATGCATTGCACATTACAGCATTTGGCTTTGGATCTGCTATGCAAAATCGTGGAGGTGGTGTGACACCCGTCCACCTTGTGTGTCCAGTGTCAATGACGATCATTGTCAAGCAGCCCACTGATGCTCCTTGCCTGCCCCACAGCTCATCATCGGCGAAGATGGCCTGCTGCCCCTGGAACCGGAGCGCGGCATCGACATCGCCGGTTTCAACGACAACTGGTGGCTGGGCCTCAGCCTGCTGCACACCACCTTTGTCAAGGAGCACAATTTCATCTGCGACCAGCTGAAGGAGCAGCATCCCGATTGGGACGATGACAAGCTGTACCATCAGGCTCGCGTCATCAACGCAGCGCTGATGGCCAAGATCCACACTGTGGAGTGGACGCCCGCCATCCTGCCCAACAAGGTGATGCTCCCTTGTATCTTGGATGGAGTTTGTGTATGCTGAGAGATGGTTTAGTAACTGTTGTTTGTCGATTTAGTGCAAAACTATGTGGCAAGGAACATACACATAGGACAGTGCACAGGTTTACATATACGTGCAAGAGAACTCAAGTGAAGGCTGGCCAAGGTGCATGCTGTGGAGTGGACGCCCATCACACAGTGCAACGAAATCGACTCCAACTTGAAACTGGTGCAGTTCTTAGTCATACTGCCATTAGTGTGAGGTGGCCTTCTCGACTAGGGTGCTATGAAATCGTCGTGTTCCGCACACGGCGTAAGTCTGCTTGGTACAATGTTATTTGCTTACACCTGCCAAAATGACCTCGCACCTTCGCATAGTGAGTGCCATCTTCACAGAAAAATCAACTTTGTACTAGGCTCGCCTCTCCAAACGTGCTGTCACAACTGGTCAAAGCCACACATCGCCTAATATGCAAATCAGCATGCTGAAAGCAGGTCCAGCAGCACCCAAGACACATCTTGGTGGAAGCGGCCGCCTTGAGAAGTGCACCTTGAAAGAGCTGACCGGAAGCGTCACTGCCTCAGAAATGCATCTTCAACTGCCGCATTCGCCTGACCAACAGGCCCCCATGGGCTGTCCACCTTTGACTGTAGCCCACCTTTGCAGCACTGACAGGCATCGCTTGTAGCTCCAGAATGTTCCACAAGTGTTTCTTTTTGCTAAATGACAGTTTATGATCCCTGCTATTGCTGTCTGGCGAGTGGCGATGTTGTGTGTGAAGTTTGTGTGGTCTGCCAAATCTCTGCGGACTGACAGCTCCTGATTCCTTCTGCCCTGTGACAGGTGGTGGAGCTGGGTATGTATGTAAACTGGTGGGGTCTGCTGGGCCGGCGTGTGAAGAACTTTCTGGCGGCGCTGCCCATAGGAGACGATGTGGGGCACATTGGGGATGGCACCGTTTTGAGTGGGAACATTGGCGCAAAGCAGGTGAGTGCCAATGGACACATGGCCGCCGTCCGACCCCTATACAAAAGAAAGAAAGAAAAGCATTCTATAAGGAAAACATTGGTTGCGTCGTTTGTGCGCGGCAACCAGCTGGTGCTGCAATCTTTTTGCTGCAATAGTTACCATGCCCTGAAACTCCAACCCACCCAACCCCACCCATCAACCCCAGCCGCAGTACGAGACAGGTTTGGAAAAGAATAGTTGTTTTATAGTTTTAGTATAGTGTCCACGCACAGCCAATATGCGGCTGATGGGCAACACTGGCTCAGCAAAGAAGGAAGGTGCCGATGAGAGCACAACCAACGTCCAGCTTATGAGTAGTTGCAGTGCATCTTGTTCCAATTGCGCAGTCATGGATCTGGTGTGCAGCAGCGAAACAGCCAGCACGAGTCAAGGGCTAGTGCATGGCACTCAACGCTGTACGCAGACAATGAACAAGGTTAGGAATGAACAATTTTGATAATTTATGGTGCTTTTGCTGGTATTATTTTGTGTTTCTCAACCCGTTCTTTTCTGCAGGACCATGGCCCTGACAACGTTCCATACTCCCTGACTGAAGAGTTTGTTTCTGTGTACCGCCTTCACCCACTGCTTCCCGATGAGCTCACGTTCAGGAGTCATGAGGATGACAGCCCCGTTGTGACAAAGACCCTCCATGAGGTGGGCGGCACTTTCAGCGACCATTTGTTAGGCCCTTTGTGGATGGGTCTGTATTCTTTCAGCTTACATCTTTGGGGCCGCATGTTGAGGCTCGCTATTCGTCTCCCTGTACCTGGTTGGGATCGCTGTGTGAACGGATTATCTTGCCCATTCCTATGAAGAAAATATACCTGTTGCAAGTTGCACTTAGTGCTGAAATCACAAGTTGTTCCTCAGCTGTAGACTGTTTTCAAACCTAAAGGGGACCTGGGTCCTTGCCAAAGTGTAGCTCTGTTTCTCAAATGAGCATGAACGCAGTGTATGAATGGTTTGCTGCGATTCAACCCGAGATCGACTGTGATTTTAAAGAGCCTCTGTGTTGAGACTTCCGTTGAGAATGCTGCACATGTCATATGTTATATTATATATTATTCACGAAACTGAATGCTGCACACATAATATGTTCGCGAAACTTTTCAAACAATGCCAGGGAAGTTTGGTTTGCTGATTGACGACAACCTGCCCAAATCACAGTGTAGGATGCCGCCAAAGTTTCCACTCAACTCGTTCGGGGAGGTGGAGTGGGGGATATGAGATACTTCCTCTGTCCAAGGTTAATTGTCCTCTATTTAAAATACAGAATTCGTTACAAGGACTGCCTTAAAATTGCAAACAAGTTTTAGAAACGGAAAATTTAGGTTGCAAAACCTTTAACTACCAATTTTCAAGAATAAAAATGAGACACGAGCCCTTTCAGCATTAGGGGAAAGGTAAATTTTGGTCATTTTTGACCCCAAATACCGAGGTTCACTAGGTAAAAGACCACTGGTACAAAGAACTACCAAATCCTCAATACTTACTGAGTTGACTTGAAATTTTGATAGTATGCTCCAGACTTACAAGCACAACTTTGGGCGAAATTTCATTGAAAACTGGTGTAAGTACAATGGAGAAGTCGTGCCCCATTGTCATAGAGGACAATTATTCTTGGACGGAGGAAGTATACATGTCCGTTGCACGAGATACACAAGTCGGGGACATGGGTAGACACGAGTCAGGTATATTGGATGTGGGATATCGGGGATAGGGGATGTTAGCTGGGGATGTGGAACTGAAGCACGTTGTCGCCTTCTGCAGGTTTCCTTCAAGGGCGCCCGGCAGAGCCTGCTGGACGCCGGCGTCCTGAACGCCATCTACACCGCCGGCACGGAGACGCCCGGCCGCATCGCCCTCCACAACTACCCGGACACCCTGCGCCGCCTCACCAACGAGAAGGGCGACGTGATCGACCTGGCGGCCATCGACATCCTGCGCGACCGCGAGCGCGGCGTGCCGCGCTACAACGACTTCCGGGAACTCATCCACATGGGCCGCGTTTCAAGCTTCGATGAAATTACCGACAACCCAACCTGGGCTGCAGAGCTCGAAGAGGTCTACGGCGACGTGGACAAGGTTGATCTCATGACCGGTCTGTTCGCCGAGAAGAGGCCCGTGGACTTTGGTTTCGCGGAGACAGCCTTCCGGTAGGTTGGGAAATTTCTCCCGCGAGTGCGTATCCGTATTTGACTGCAAACTGCTATCTACATAATTGATTTGCGTGTCCTCCTTCGGTATGCGCAAATATTGGGTGTGCTCAGCTTCGTGTTTCACTCAGCGTTGGGGCCATCAACCAATCGTAATTTTGTCGAGACGGCTTTTCTGTAGGTTAGGCAATTTCTCCCACAAGTATGTATCCTTATTTGACCACGATTTATTACCTACACATTGGATTTGTGTGTCTTCCTTGTATATGCACAAATATTAGTATGTTCTGCTTGTTGTTCCGGTAGATCACTCCCTCAAGCACGTGTCGTTATTCGACCACAAGTCAGTATTTACATAAGTATCCGCATAAAATGAACTTGTGTGTCTTCCTCGTGTGCACAAATATTAGTATTTTCAGCTTTGTTGTTCTCTAAGGACTGGCCCCAACAACCAATCCTAAATTTGCTGAGCTTACCACAAAAGTTAACATGCAAACACACTCTTGATGCTTGTGCACAGGGTGTTCCTGCTGATGGCCACCAGGCGGCTGCTCAGCGATCCGTTCTTCACCGACCTGTACAACGCGGAGACGTACACGCAATGGGGCCTGGACTTCATCGAGGAGACGACGATGATCGACGTGCTCAAGCGCCACTTCCCGGAGCTGGAGCCGCACTTGGAGGGGCGGAAGAACGCCTTCGCGCCCTGGAACGCTTCTTTCAACAGGGGGAAGCACTGAAGGCGTGGAGGCCCTCAACCTGATGTACTGCGTAATGTACAGAGCGCCCTTCCAGTGGGGAGCACTGGGGGCGCGCGGTGAACTGATGTAGTTTGTAATGTACAGGGCGAGTGTGCTGTGATGAATTTCTGGGAAGGGAACGGGGGGCGCTGGGCTGTTGTGGCTGAGCCGGTTGTGTCGCAGCAGTGGGAAGAAGTGGACGGTTGTGCAAAGCCGCGGATTGTGCGCCGAAATTGGGCACACGGTTCAAAAGGGGCGTGCAGCCGTTTTCAAGCGCAAGCACATGTGCGAGAGGCAGTCCGGCGCGTGCAGTTGTCAAGTGCAAGCCCAAGCTCTAGAGCGGATCCAATGCATGCGGCGCAGGGATGTTGTTGCGATTAGTCTTTTGGGGCATCTTCACGCTGTGTAAGGTTCTGTGCTGGTGTTTGTATGACACGGAGGGTGGCGGCGGGTGGCTGTGCGAAGCGCGAAGCAGGTGCACTGTAGCCATGATAACGAGGCAGATGTGGATGCGGGTTGGACGTCGCGCTCGACGTCAAACTGGCGTTAAGGCGGTGGGGCATGGGCGCGCTGGTCCACGGGAAATTGCACAGCCGCCACGCAATAGACTTGAGAGTAGAAAGACCCAAAGCGGCCCAACGTGGCCAACGGGCGCACATGTTGACCGAAAAAAAAATGCCCCCATTCAGCAACCGCAGTGGTGATAACACCAATAAACGAGCTGAAGATACACTTGCCGTTGTGCCACTCGCATTGCCAGGCGCATGCCCGCGCGGCATAGCAATGCAATGCCAAACACAGCGAGGTCCATTTTGCTGCCAGAGGCCCTGCAAGCGTATCAGAATCCAGCGACGACCTGTCGACACCAATGCCCCTTACCGGTGGCCGCCTTTCTAGCCAGCGCGTTCCAAGGGCCCAAACATCTTCCGGCAACCATTTGCACCATCGCCTTCGACTGGGAAAGCCACTTCACTGTCCGCATGGCGGAAGGTTGGTTTCGGACAGTGACGCGGACAGTGACAAAGGGGTGTGCGCTTGTGGTGCGGAAATAAAATCCCCAAATTCCAGGGACGAAAATCCTGAACTTCACTGAGCAGCAATTTCGCAAGACATTGTTGCTTCTGTGTCCCAACAGCGTCGGCCTATCTGCGAATTGCACTTCGATTGTTTCGCACATATTACATCTACCCTCGCAAATGTGCCCATCGCCCTATATAACCTCAATCGCTACACACAAAAAAAAGGCACCAAAGGCCACCGTCCATCAATCTTTTGGGTCCCGCTAGCCTAACTCATCTGCAACTCCACACTGGATGCCTCGCGCCACGCAGAGAAGAGACACTTTCCCATCATTCTTCTGAGGCAGGAAGCACCATCAATTGCGCCCTTGACCCACGACCCAAAAACGAATGCCCAAGCAAGCCACAGTTTTCCAAGCGCCCCCGCACCGGCACCCACGTGAATGCCCTCCCTCTTTGGCAGTCTCTCCACTGCCTTGATCCCCTCGCGGGCAAGTTGGACCACAAGGTACGTCACCAAACCCCCCATGGAAAGGAGCACGGCTGCGGAGATGACGATTGAAACTTCCTTAGATGTGTGGGGGTCATCGAATACGATCCCCGCCGTGAGCACCGCTATTGAGCACGTGAGGGACATGGTCTCCATGCCATTCAATGGAGGTCCGCGGTCGTCAAATGGCAACACGAGAAGGTGGGCTATGACTGAGAACACCAGAACGGTGGACGCCAGTGTCGCTTGCAGACTTGGGCCAAGCGGGAACCGGAACACGGTGATGGCGGCCAGCGCAGACTTCCGAAGCATGTCTAAAACTTCCCAGTACCTGTGGCCCCTTCGGTAGGGCAGGCACAGAAACTCCACCGCCCCCTGAGAAGCCTCCCCGCGGCGCTCGTTCCCAATGCCGATAATGGTCCCAAAGATGCCCAAGGGCATGCCGATGGTTACGAGCATCAGTGCCGGCACCGCCAGCGCAACAAGGACCACCACAAGGTGGTTGCCTCTGTAGCATTCCTGATCCGTGTCTTCTGTCCAGTAAATGCTCAGGGAAGCCGTGTCCCCGGCATTGTCCCTGCTTCCCTCGTCCACGTCGGTGCAGTCCAAGACTCTCAGAGCATTTCTGGAAACTTCGATGTACGAAATGTACAGCACGGAAAGGACGGCGACCCGCCACAGGTGCAGCAGGTCCTTCCAGCTCTTGCGCGTTAGTATGCTGAGCATCAGCGAGATCAACATGATGGCGAGGATCAGGAGGAAGGGGAAGGTGAGGTTGGCGACCGTCCGGTACATCGATCGGCTGATGGGTGCGTCGCTGGGAAAGGCGCATTCGAGAGAGAGCAGGCCGTCGCCCCCGGATGACAGAAGTTCTGCGTGCACACGCTGCACTGGTCATTGGAGTACATCGCCAGTACTTAACCGCGCAGATCTGCGTGAACACGCTGCAACGATCATTGGAGTACATCGCCAGTACTTAACCACGCATGATTTCATCAACTCCGAGTCAACGCCCGTTACTTCTATTTCACTTTTAGAGCGTCCGATTATGGCGTTCCCTGCTGCGCGTGAGGTCCTTCCAGTCGGCTTCATGACAACGTTGCTTGAGGCGGCCAGGCAGGAGCAGCATACTCAGTACCGGCATCGCCAGAACTGAGCCACATAGATGCTTCACCACTAGCATCAACATATTCGAACAGGATAAAAGACAAAAACTGAAGAATCCAGTAGATACAAATGGTGTACAGTATAAGAGACAAAAAGTGAACAATCCAGTAGATTCAAACGGTGTACATAGTCCGAAACCTCACCAGCCACTCCCAGTGCTCTTATGGTGGATGCCGTCCAGTTAACATTAATGAATACTGCAACGCCCGTGACTTGCAGGAAATTGATGAGAATCTGGCATTTGCAATGAGATCTCCATCAAACCAAGCTCATCGGCGAATTTCAAGAGTATGTGGGCTCATAGATTTGAAAGCAGCGTTCGTGCCGACAGATGGCGCTAAACATACATTCAAGAAAACACGTTGAGCCCATCTGGCATGGAAATGGACGTCGAAAACCGTATAGTGCATCGCAGCGATCGACATGCATGTGCTTCTGCAGCTGGGTATATGTGACGCATCATCATCATCACCAAAATCCGTCGACTACACTTGCCATACAATGACATACGTACACTGCGCATGTTTTCGATAGACACTCCCTCGCTCAAGAATTCAAATTGCGGCGTCTTCAGAGTCCAATTCCAGGAGGGGACAATCACCACAAGCCAGTTGCTCGACTGCTGCAATACATGTCTTAGCAGCGCAGTATCAGCTATTTGGTGTGTTCCGATGTATTTCTCATCAATTCTTACAGGTACATCACTTTGCTATGGAGGGATTGCTCCACTCATCTGCAAGATGTCCGCAAGTTTTCTATCCTGAATACGCAGATCCAGCAGATGGCCATAGACCAGGATGTGGGTGCCCACATGGTCATATTCTTGCCCAGATTCACGCGTATCCCAGAATGAATTCCTTACATTTTAAATTCTGATTTAAATGCCCGTTAGTACAACAACATTTTGCGCAGCACTGGTGCAACATTCAGGAATTTTGTACCACATCATAACCTCAGATTTTCCTGAAATAGTTAATCATTGCCCACACCTTCAAAATATCGGATGCATAATTTCGGGCACTGCGCCTCGGAACGCATGATCCTTCGTCCTGATCTTCCAGCTCTCCTCCCCACACATACATGGAAAGTGACCTCATTAGTCCCGAAGAAGGATTAGGCAACCTCTGGACCCGGCTCATTTTTCTCATCTATTGCAGTAGACCTATTACCCGTTTCCCCACCATCGCTTGCCGGCATCCTGACAGCTCTCATTTCCAAAGCCGGCATTGAATTCTTGATCATCAAAAGGGAAAGAATGGCAATCCAGAGTGCCGCCAGAGTGGCAAAGAGAATGCTGATTCCTCTGTTTCCACATTTAATGCATTGGCCAGATCTCACCATGCCATGATCTTTGTCACACGCGCCGCACAAAACGCCTCTGTGGCCCTGAGAAAAAAAACGTCGCAGTCACCAAGCTCACAAATCTGGCCAGTTGCCATCGCAATGTTGACCGATGCTCTTCACACATGAGGGTGGTCAATGGTGAGCCATCAATGGAAGGATCCAAGGATGAATGAAGAGCACTGGCACACTGCAATTAAAGTTATCGAATACAAAAATATTTGCTGTTTGATGCAGAATCAGATGACTAATTCCAGGAAGCGCACAATAGCCCACAGGCTGCGAAACGGCAGCCTTGTGGTCAGTACTCTGCTCAAACAATTGCGTCATTTCATTGACAACAATTTTGATAATATTTTAATAGTCATAATTCGAGCTGCTGACGTGGTATTCCTTTTGCAACGTGCCGTGTACTTCCGGCGACCCGAAGTCAATAACTGCAAACCGAGCACTGGACAACTGATGTTTGATTTTGCAGTAACTTTGCTAATAAATCAAAGGCCTACTTAGGAGACAAAAGTTATGGAAGGACTCTATAAGTGCAGTTGATTACTAACGAGGAGGTTCATCTGCGTGTTTTTGCGTTCAATTTTTGCGAGGGATGGGAATGTACGTATTAAAAATGCTGACCTGAGTTCGAAGTACAATGTTGTGTTTCATACTTCCAATAAGAGACAACAAGGAATGGTATTGATATTTGTTTAGGGTTTCAGGAATAACAATCCATAATAACGTAGAGAGATTGCCGCCTTCAATGCAAATGGAGACATCTGAGAGCTTGGACTTTTGAAGCTATAAATTTCAGAGCATGAGAACGGGCGCACTGCGCCGGCGTGCGATGATTTCTAAGCATCCAAAGCGTTATATACACTATCTCAATTATTTGTACGCCCCTCTCACCTCCTTGCACTGCTGATATGCAGTGTTGTCTTTGTAAGTCAGCATTCCTTCAGCGGCATGCGCGTCTTTTGCTTGCAAGTCAA